TATATAATATAAGAGATCTGAGGAGACGTGGCGATGTTGATTATGATGAACAAGGGAATGACACACCGCGAACGTACACAACACGAACAAAACTGCCGGCCAACAAACAAGTCTCGAGCTTCGAACAATCTCAGGCGAATGTGCTGTTAGATATAACGAGAGATTAACCCAAAATAGAGATACTGATGTTGAAAAATATGGATAAGAAACATGAATTATAATAGCGGTTAGCGAAACGAGACTGTTACGAAGTTTCTTCGCTAATTCATATAGGGAAATCAAACATTTACGTATAAAAAGCAGACGATAGAAGATGGCTTGCAAATATAGACAGTTGCCCAAAAGATAATGGAAGATGATTGACGCTGATAAATCGAAAGAAAAAGAAAGGTAAATCGAAAAGTGTTAGAGAGCAAATGACAAATAATAACAATAAAATATGGATAATAATGATGATGAAGGTACTAAACAACAACAACAACAACAGCATAAACGAAATAATATTCAAACATCAAAGGACGGCCGCTCCTGCGATGCTGAAGACGTAAAGAACGATTACATAGTTGAACTGCTGTAGGAACGGAAAAGCAAGAACCACTATACGAAGAAAAAAAGCCAACAACAGCTACGACAACGTCCAAAAACTAACAATAATATAGCAATAAGCTATGTAAACAACATATACACATGAGGCAGACACAGCGGAAATACGAACAACATACAATACATACAAATAAAGGAATTATAATAAAATATTGTTCTGTTAACAGTAATGGTGTTTTCTATGACACTGGCGAATTTTATGTATGACGGGATAACGAGTGTTTATTTTTAGGCTTATTATTAGGCTATATATTGTCTTTTCTTCGCAGTGTTTTTCACACGGCGACGTTATTCTCCGAGTCGGGTTCATCATGTCTTTGACGAAAAATTGAGCTTCTCGTCATTCAATGGTTGTAGTGACTCATAGTTGAAAATGCTCCCTTCACACTCGATGTATTATGAAGACTGAATCATAGTCTATAAAAATCTCGAGAACTAGACTAGCGTGTTTTCATTACCATCAAATAAGAATAGAGCAGTTATAATGCCATTCTGCGTTTTATAGTCGTTCAGTTGGGTTAAACAGGTAAATTGTTTCCCTAGTAAATAACGGCTAGATATTAGATCGCTTTTTTGTACTTGACTAGGAATTCATGGTCATAAAAACTAAATCGTGCTAAATTATCAACTGTACACTATACGTGCTTAATTGGATTAGTATTATCGAGGAGCAGAAGAAGTACCACACACAGAGGTATGGAAACGTGTCATAAACACTGTTATCAGCTCTAAAGCTGCTTACTTTTGGTGTACGTGTTTAAGGCTTGTTCCGTGTACTTCAATTATAGCATAAGGCGCAAGTAATAGGGAGAGTTGGATACGGGTGCTACATGTATTAGTGGAGGAAAACGGTGTACCACATCGATTTCGCAACTGACGTTGACCGGGTGATCGTGACAACGGCACACAATCGTTAGAAAGGACAGGAGCAGAAAAGGTTTGACGGCGGCAGGACACAGTGCATGTTGAATTACATGAACACTGTCTAAATATATATATACATAAATTGTTCTCTTTCAATTTGCTACAATGTCTAGATTGTTTCCCTATCCTTGTTGGTTCCTGGAGGAGTTAACTGAAGTATGAAAGCGTAATGGAGCTAACTACTCTAGGGTTTCATTGTAGTTGATTACCGACGAGGTTCTGTCAAGGTTAAGGTTAACGCGATACTGCAACACGACCCCCCCCCCCCAACAGTTTTTTTACGTTTTGAATAGTATTCCAATGGAGTTCCGCGATTTTTTAAATATCCACTTGTTTTATACGCTCTACACCATGTAAAAGACGCATATTTCATCTAACATAAAAATTAACTCTTTGTTTTTTTTAATAAATAAAAGTTTCCACTTCACTAAATGTAGGAAATACGTGTTTGCATATAGAAATAGCTGAATATAGTTCTTCAGAAAAAATACGAGAAGCAGACACTGGTGTCAACGGAAGCACTATGTCGGATATCAAAGAAGTATAACGTAGTAAATTTGCTTGAGTGTGACATCTACGCTGCGCAACGCTTTTTCCTCACAGCTGGGATTTGGGTTGCTGGGATGGTCTTTCATGCGGAAAGTTTTACTGATCCACTTAACGCTGTAGATACTAATTGCAGTCAAAGCAATCATGGATTTCGGTCACCTTCAGGCTGAACTAGGCTCGCTTAAAGAACAGTGCTGTAAAGTTTAATTTAAACTTCAGTTAGTGAAAACGTGGTTTGACATCGCTGTAGCTGATCGGCAACACAGGAAGCTAGAATTGTTGCATTAGTTTATGTGGCGGCCGTGTTGACAGAAGCTCATTGTGAAAAGTTGGTGCGCGAGGTAGATTTTATGATAGAACAGAAGATAGGATGCTGTAAACACATCAGTCTAATCTAATCAGTCGATTAATGAGAATTCAGTTAAGAAAACGTCTTATTAATAACGTAATAATACGTTGCACTTGCTCAGCAATATTTTTCACTTATATATTGCCCTGAGATTTACTGTGTATTCTATAGGCTCAATTTGACGAGCTAATTAAGCATTAACGTATTTTTTAAGCATATGGCCTATTACTAATAGCGTTGTTGAGGAACGTTTTAAAAAGATTCGTTTATTATGATGTTCCCCACTTAATTAGCAGTATTTTGTACCAGTCTATACTCTAATTGAACACAAAATCTACTCAAGATATAACTATGTATTAGGTTGAGTTTTATTGTTGCATATAACTGTGTATTTAATTAAATATTCGTATAATAATTTTATTTACTAAACCTAGGTTATTTCTCACAAACGCAGCTGTGTGTTTACTATAGCTGAGCAAATATGAGAACTCAATCAGACGGAACAATTGGATGTTATTGCTTTAATCGTACTCCGAACCTAACGCGATGCTAAGCTCCTCACTGATGACTTCAGTCTTGTGATACCACACGCTAGAATCAAGCATTACTGAAAATACAACAACAGAGCAAACGTTATGGGCATACCCTGATCCACCTTTTTTACACGATTAGTTACCTATCGGATGTTGCCGTTAGGCGAGCTAACTGCTATCAAAACATAAGATATCGTAGATTTGTAAAGCTTACTTGAGAATCTATATAGAGTAACGATGTTTTCTGGATGAACGGTGAGTTAGATCATATCAGAGATGACGTGTATGTCTTAGCACGTACAACTACTGGATATCTTATGTGTGTACTTACTGACATCTCCCGGATGCAGGTCAGCAGAAATTTGTTGACAGGTGCGGTAACATTCCGGTAGGGCGCAAAAAGTCCAGCGTTTCACACCACCCAGTTGGGCCTGCCAGGATGGCTTGTCCAAGCGATCGAGCTACATCGAGCAGACGAATATTGCATCGATAAGGATTTACTGTTTTATTGATAGTCCATAATTCATATTACGATTCTTAAACTTCCATTATATCTTGAAAATTAAACTATCTTATTGTTGTTTGAGAAATCAGTCACATGTTTTTGATAATTTCACTCTTAGATCGAGAAAGAATCCCAGGCTGTCTGATTTTCAACTAGACCTTAATTGGAGCACTTTACCTGATATCTCAAAATGTCAACTTGCCAGTCCAATTCGAAAAGAATAGCCTTAAAAGCAAATATTTTACTTTTTGCTTGAATCGCCCCTCTCTTTTTTCTGTCGATCGAAATCATCGCTCAGTTTATTGTATCAATTATTTAGGCTTTCATGTACACACACAATGTTTCAGCCATGTCCTAGCGTATACCTTAGTGGAGATGGTTTCGCCAATTACTGCCGAATTGCAAACACTTCTACTTATACCTTAACAGATTCTACTGTGACGCGTAGCAAAAAAGGAAGCCTTCAAATAATAACCTGGACCACTTGGAACGCTTCAGTCCAGTATATAATAAACCTACGTGCAAATGTGCGCCCTTGCCGCGATTTCCAACAAAGAACCACTCAAGCGCTGACCGTTCGGAATCAGCTGGTAGCAGATCTGGTACTCGATAAATGCGTCGCAGTCGTTCGCTAACAAGGGGTTCGCAGTTACTCCTAGCGTTGTCAAATACACAAAATTGACAGGTATCAAATGTTTGCCATACATTGCAGAGGAAGTGACTAGGTGTAGCATGTGTCGTGCATGAGTCGATATATATATATATGTATATATGAACGGCTGTAATTTCTGCATCAGAAACCTGGGCGTTTCAAATATGGCTTCTCGATGCATTCCCGAGCTCTTCTATTCTAAAACCCATTGAGAATTTTCTGGTTTGTCTCATAAAAGTCCTCCTCGGGTCTTCCGGAAGCTGCGTAAGAAATAGCAAATGGTGGAATTCATGGAAAAAAAAAGTTTTTTTTTACATTGCTGGACGTTTGTCTAGTGCGGAAAAACTGAATAAAAGCAAATCATCGGTTCGATTTCAAAAACGAAATGAAAATATTTTTTTTCTTTAGAAAAAGTTACCTTTCGTTTAGTTCTGAGTCAGCAACTGAGTACATGTTCGTTACGACTAACAGCCCACCAAAGTTTTACCCAATCTGAGCTTAGAACCCTATATGATATATAGGGTTTCTTCCAGTGAAAAAACGCAGAATCAAATTAAAGAGTTAAATTGAATTTCATAGGGCAAATCTCTTGTGACTATCGCTTTCTCGAACAAGAAGAACATACCATCCAATGTAGAAATGTCTACTCATCCTTTCCTTGGTCATATCAAGTGCCTGACGCAACGAGGTAAACTCAGTGTTATACGCGAAGAATTGACAAGTGGTAAAGGAGGTCGCTGCGCCGCGGCTCTCGTTGCTTCTGTCGCTACTATCAGAGACATTTTCGTGGAAACCTTCGGAACCACCCTGGAAGTACATTTCCCGTAGGCTTGCCCACGTCAGTGGAGCAAAGGAAACCGCACGTTCGTATGCGCCACGGATGACCAGTGGGACTTCTTTTCTGGAGATCCTGGTCTCGGAAAGACGGTGTATTATTAATGACTAATGAAATAACAATAATAATAATAGTATTACTTATAATAATTGCGTTTTACTTCAGGGATAGGAAAAAAGCTGCGATGAAAACGTATATTTCTGTTGGTTTAGGTAGTATCTGTAGTTAACAAGAGATACAATATTTTGTCAGCTTTCGAACAAACGCCTATATAACCGTGTTCACAAGCAACTGCATAAATAGAGGAAATGCTGATTCGAGTTCAGCTAACAGGTTCTTTGTCGAGGGTGTATAAACAACGCTTAAATTCGATTGATTTATTTATACGCGCAGATACTATCGGTGTAAAATGTAAACCCGCACGGTAGGTGTTCGGTGAGGTTTCTCTTCTATTAACTATCAAGAAGCAAGCCGTGGTTCTCTGTAATGTGGGGAATTTTCAGCAAAAAAAAAATTCTAGGCACCATTGAACAGCCTTCATTGTCTATCGAGTTTACAAACATCGTTTTCGCTAGGTTTTTTTTATCGTTGGCATACTTACCAATGGCGATATCTATCGGTTTCGTTGGCAAAAATCCAAGGCACCTCCGTGAGTCCTTGACACAATGTGCAGTTGTATGGTGGCACAAAGGCATTTTGTAAAAAACTGGGCACATAGAACAGACAACGTTCTTTATGGATGAATCGTGAGATTCCACTTGTTGCGCGGAACAGAAAAATAGCCAGTATCGCCAGAAGGCATGAATGTATAAACAGACGGACCAACATAGGACATTTTTTCAACAAACCTGGCCAAACTCTTAGAAGGCCGTTGACATGAATACAAACTGTGGATAACTGTGCAACTATAGCGTTTGCCTGAGAATGTTGCTTCCTTATGCTGGTTGAAATCGACATCCTAAAGCCGTATTTAAATGTCCATATAGGAGATAAACTTGCAAAAGAGGTAAATTTCACTCCGCAAAGTAGGTTTTGTGTTTACAAACGTTCTTATATATTGGGCACAGCTTGGTTGTAATCTGTGAACTTAAGAGAATATCGGAGTGGCCTCTAGCGGTGCCGAAGTGCGACTACAAAGAAGAGCAACGGCAGCTAGCGCGTTCTATCGAGCTCCAGCGTGCTCAATGCAGTACGACCAGCCTTCACGCGCGTGACTTTAGGAGTGGACAAGGACTTATGTACTTAGCCTAAGCAGCTGCGAAGTGTTAAGGATATAGGAAACTACGGTACAGCCACTATTGTGGTGGAATAAACTTGAAAGTCTGGCAAGTGTAGATTCAGCACGGTATATTATTTTTTGTTTAGTTTAATTTAATCGTGTAGTAGCTATGACACGTTTGTTTATTCTCGAGTTTTCTACTGTTTGTTCACTGTGTTACTCACCAAAGTTAACGCGGCTGTCGTTTCTTGCTTCGATGGTATTGGATTTGTCGATGATAATATCAAACTTTTTATCAAATTACGATACATCATGAGGTAATTGTTCCACGAGGGAATAATCTATGGTATCATCCTTTCCAAATATATATATATATATATATATAGTTGCATTCAATCTGGCTTCCTACAAACATGCCGTTGAAACCATCTGTCAAGACGAGCTTGGTATTAATACACACGTCAAGGTAAGAAAGTCTGGTCCAACTGGTGAAAAATAGAATTCGTGGGCTTGTAATTAAGCATGAAGCCACTTAAGCTTTAAAAAAGTTCTGTCATCGATCAAGACCGGTTTTAGAAATTACCGGGACAAATTGAACCGCTATCGCGTAGCACCCAAATCGATCGTAAGTAACAGTACGTCACGCACAATGATATCCAACACAAGAATATCTCAGAAAAGGGTACGCGGACAGAGAAAAACTTCAACGTCACGCTAAAACTGGCTAAAAGCTGTGGTAAGACAAAGAAAATAGATTAAATACCATCTGGAAAATGCATTTAGTAGACACAATTCATTTTAAAATCACGCTTCTTATTTTGCTATTTTAGCACAGACCACCGTTTGTTTGATGTAAAGTTTATTTCTAACTGGCCAGTGCTTCTGCTATAGGATTTTCTACAAATGACCGCTTTATCATGAGATACATATAAAGCTTGGCTTATTTTTCACGTTGAATATGTTATATACTATATAGCGATATAATTGTTTCTCTCTCTTCTACACTGTTCGAGTCGATTAAATGGTGATATGATTTTCTGGTGTTGCAGTGCTAACGTAGTGAACTTATAGGTCCTTGAATTGGTTTAACTTGAAAGGCGTTAGTTGCTTGCTAGGAAATGCTAACCGCTCAAAGCTATATTCAGCGACGTGCTTGAACGCCGCACGTAAAACTTGACTGGTTTTATGTCTACCTTTCATAGTCTGTATTTTAGAAATTAATTAAAATGGATATAGTTCTTAAGAAATTACTGTGTGTCTCTATTGTGGCTATAGTTGATTGTTATCTTAAATTGTGTGTTCTATATGTACATGCAAACTCCTATATGTAGAAGACGCTCCTTAGATCAAGTGTTAAATCTATATAATAATTTACTTTATTAAGTGTTTAGAATTGTGCTATCGAATCGAGATAATGTTAAAAAAGTTCTTTAGATTTCCGAAGTTTTTTTAAGTTTAGCTAGTCGAAAACTTGCCCCTTTGCTCTCCCGAAATTACAAATGTTGTTAATGTTAGGTCATGTCTTGCTGTACTATGAAAGGCGTTATGTTGTTCTGTGTAAAGATGTAAGTATTCACGTCTATTGCATACATGTAAGTTTTAACGTTTAGCTATGTCCAGCAACTTGTAACCAGTTATATAAACATTTTGAACCCACTCCTCCGTATAATATCCATTGTCCAAAGATAGAAGGTTCAGCTGAAATTAACGAATGGGGCCTATTCTAACACTGAATCGATAGAAACCAAAAACTAATTCCCCAAGCAAACTAAATATATTGCTTCGTCCCATTGATAATTCTCGTTTATCATACATGTAGCCTTAAATGTTTACGTACGCTGACTGAAAGCACGTTCCTGTAAATGCTCCTCTTTATTGGACACATATTGCAAAATTACACGAAACATAACTTGGTTAGATACTTGTGCAAGTCCGTGCTATCATGCAAATTTAACTATAAAAATATTTATAGTGGCCAAATGAGAATTCTGATATCAATCTTCAATATGCTGAGCTGGTCTTCGACAGATTGTTTTTTATGCATTTGGCATTATCATTGTTCCTAAGGCTGTGTCGACCCCAACCAAAAGCCGCATACGAAAATGAGCTGACGAGCTCTAGTTGCTCCATTTTTTGCATTTGTTCCATCTGCTCCTACAACTGCTGTCGATCGCGTTCCCGCCGTTTGCGAAACATCTGCATTTTTAAATGATTCCGAGAAAAAATTTTATTGCAAAAATCCAATATTGCTCTCTTATTTTCTCAGTTTATCTATTTTTTATTAGTTTGCTTGTTACGTGCTTAGTATTGATGAGAAAGGGGTGAGAATGTCTTAACTCATGCGTTCCTTAGCGGACTCAAAATACTGCGAGACGAAATCGAGAACACAATTTGTACCTGAGCAAAAAAAAGCGCTGTCAACGTCGCGGTATCAGCCCTCTAAAACCTAATTATTTCCTGTAACAGCATAAGCGAAAAGTAATGTTTCAGACTATTTACATACCTTTGAACCAGTCTAAATCTCTAGGAGAATTAGTCAGGGACGTTTGTTTACGCATTACACACATGAGATCGTGGTATATAAGAAAAAAACGTTAAATCGAAACTTGTCAAATAAAGTCGGTGCTATTGAGGAGCGCTTACGTTACCTACTCCATGAAACCCTTGTAGCCTTAATGCGTTTGATTCTAGAAATGTTATGGTGGACAAGCGTGCACTTCAGATTGTTAGTGTTCTTTAGCAGCATATAAATAAACGTTCTTTGTGAAGACGTCACTCGGGTGTGTATACGTGGGTTTGGTTAAAGGAAAGACAATCGCAGCTGTTTTTGAGTGTATGCCTTTTCTAGGAGAACGATCTACGTTGTACACTTTACCAACTGCTATTTATCCCTTCGTTTTCTTCTGAGAATTTATCATGTCTAAACATCCAATACCTTACTGGATATTAGACAGGCCTAGCGGCTATTCGGCAGCGAGAGCCATACCAACGCAGTCGTCGCCGCTGCCGCCGTTACAGGAACATCCGCATGGCCAACATCGATCTTGAAGAAGCTGGCGAAAGATATGACGGCATAGATACGTCATCCACAACCACGGAAGGTGATAATGGAAGATGAGCTACTTTGAACAGGGGTGGCGGATGAAAAAGACGGTAGGTCAACGGCACCCAACGACGGTAATAGAGGTTCCATTACTCTGGACAGAAGTGGTGGAAAATCCACAACATCGACCGGAGGCGATGGTGGGTCCACTATCTGAGATCAGGGTGAAAGAAGATCAATAATATTTGGCGGGGGCGGTGACAGATCAACGATCAATGATGGAGGCAACGGCGGCTCGAGTGGCGACGACGGCGAACGTACGACTGAATGTTAAAAAATTACGACGACAGATCCTAGTGGTAGTGTTTTATTCTGTACACGGGCTGAAATTCATTGTAATAAATCTAAGCTAAATCATTGTGGAACCTTTCTTATCACAAAGAAAAATTTATACAAAAGGACCACACAAAAATTCAATTGAGCAGGCTATCGCGTCCTTGTTAACTGTTTTTCATTAATCAATTTTAAATAAAACGGAAAAATTAAACGCAACAAGTTAATACAAATCGAAAGCTACAAAATCGTGTTTTGTAAAGACTAAATGTCAAGGCTACATTTGTCAGAAAGTTTATTTCGAATTGCACGCGCGTCAAAATCCTTCAACAGATGTAAGAACATGTTATTAATATGAGTTTTAGTTTCAACAAGTGTTTCATGGTGCTGAACAAATAAGTTTCCCACCAGTCTGTTTCTCATATTTTCAAACATTTATTATGGCGAATATATTCTAGAAACACGGAATCGGCTGTCGCTGTTAACACACAAACTCCGTTTCATGACGGATACGAATTAAATTACCAAGTTTACTAAGCGTATTTAAACAAATACGCAGTTTACTGCATGTTATTAAACACATTTATTTAAACCATTAGGTGTTTTTTAATATATTACTTAATCATATATTACTTTACAACGAGCAATTGCATGGCATTATTAAACAAGACGCAGGCCTCCATTCGACCTTCTTTTTGGACTCTTCCTTTGCGTCCCACCGTACATCAGCAGACTTTCCCTTCTGTCTTGTTCGCATGTTATAAATGTGTTTCTATATATATATATATATATATATATATATATATATATATGTATATATATATACCGCTTTTTAGCGGACTTGCAACTTGTCACAGCCTCCTTCAAAGTCTGGTCAAACAGGCGTTGCTCCCAAACCAAAAGCCGCATACGAAAATGAGCTGACGAGCTCTAGTTGCTCCATTTTGTGCATTTGTTCCATCTGCTCCTACAACTGCTGTCGATCGCGTTCCCGCCGTTTGCGAAACTCCTCCTCGACTTTTTGCTTCCATTTCTGTTCCTTTTCTCGAAAGCGTTCAGCCGAAAGCAACGGGTCGTCTGCAGCGAGTTGCCTGTGTTCGTCACTGCTAATCGGTGGAGGCGTAATCTCGATGTTAAGCGACAACATGCCTGCGCCGATAGCTGCTGATCCACCTGCAACGAGCGGGCACGAACAGCATGAAGCAACGTGAACACTCAGAGCGAAGAATGAGTTGGCAATGGGGAAAACGGCTACTATCTGTATTTGATCTTCTCATGGCCGTAAAATTGAAAAATACCTACATTTTTCGTTCTTAGTCCTGTGTGTTTTCCCTTGCGGCTTACAGTGAAGAGTACTGTGTTGGGTCTGCTGCTGGGGGTTAAAGGCATACTTGCTGGGCACGCTCAGTTTTTTCTCGCTCTGCGGCGTTGGCCGAATATGATATATGATTAAGCCTCGGTAACTGACTGTTTAGTAGGTCCACATACCCAACGATAATGAGGGATGATTGCTTGTTCGACCCGCGCTTGATAAGCGTCTGTTGCTTTCATTGTTGCTTCCATTCGAACTATTCCTATTTTGGACATTTACAGTGCTGTCGTTGTTTCTTGGTGGCGGTAAATAGACGAAAGATTGACTTTTCTGCTGCAAAGAGTTCGGCCCACTTTTGAATGACCAGTTTGAGTCAATACCACCTGCCGAGTTCTGCGATAAGAACATGCTCGGCAGTGTAAAACGTGCTTGATTTGGCAAGGAAAACATGCACCTAGATATATCAGATGGCTCAGTTCCGCCTGTGCTTTCCGTGTCGGTATCGATCAGATCTTCTTTTGGCGTCCAGTGAGGATGTGGATTGCTGTAACCACTCGTAATGCCAGAGTCGACCGAGAGGTGCGCTTTCAAGGGGGTCTCCTCTTTGCGGTCTTCGTCGGATGATGAGGATGAGGAGAAATTGAGTTCACAATCGGATAGACTCTTGTGTCCTTCCGAGTTTCGGTCACCGTCACTGCCGGCCGGGTCGAGACTTTTCCACGCGTGTGTTGGCGAGAAACGCAAAGGAGTTAGGCCAGACATCAATGTCGCTATGGGACGACGCGGTAAGCAAGGTCGAATGTGGACGCTAATATGCACATTTTCATGGTCAGGTGTGCCACCACAGTCTTCTTCTGACGAGGACGATATACTTGCTCTGCATGACACACTTGACTTGATCCAATTAGCTGGTATGGGAGGCGGTGTCGGGGGTTTGTCAGCCGCATGCAATGAAGTCAACTCGACATTTGTTGTGACGTCGAGACCGTTCAATTTATCCGGTGGTAGTGACTTCGACTCTTTAGGGGATGGAGGCCGGAAAAGCATCTCGAGCGATTTTGGGGGCGTGATCCGTGGCGCGTAAACCTCAACGGTCGGCTGCGGTCGCTGTTGTTGAGCAGCATGGAAGGTTACTGGTGTAGGCAGCGGGGGCTTTGGGGGCGAAAGCACATTGCGCTCATCCGGCTCACAATAATCACTATCATCGGATTTCCTCCCTGCACTCAGCTGTGAGTAATTGTCCAACGTCGCATCGAGGTCGTCAAGAATCTGGGTCGCAGCATGAGGCACGCAGAAATTATTCACATCCTGATTACCGCTTATTTCGTTATTGTTTATGCTACTCATATTATTATTGGTATGATTTATATTCCCGGAAACAAGTACCTGACCAAAGTTCGGGTTAACTTTAAATACGACGTTATCATTGGCGGGGACCCGTTGTCGGACTTCGCTACTGCGGTTACTTGTGGGGCTGTCGCTGCTGCTGCTGCTGCTGCGAGCGCTCTGAACGACAAGTTTACGGATCTGATTGGGCTGTACCTTGCGGACTAGTTCCTCACGGCGGGCGTCTTCTTTTGGTGGAGGTTTCACAATCGGGAGGTCTGGTAATTTCTTCGTTGGCACAGACACTGTTATCCTTCGTTGGGCTGTTATCCGATTATTAGAAAAACTGTTGTTCACAGCGGTAACATTGGGCTGCGGTAGTTCACCATATGGTTTATTTAGATCCTTTGCGGAAGGTTTAGCCCGGGTTATACGTGTACCATCAACAGACGTCTTGGCCACCTCTTTTGCCGCTGAGGTCTTTCCCGTTACTTGAGACTTTGCAGTGGTTGATTTCGAAACGCTACCAATCTTTAGTGACGTTTTTTCTTTTCGACCAGTTTCCGAAGTTTCTTTTTTTAGCGTGTCCATGTTCGAGAAGTAAAACTGCGGCTTGATCGGCGCGGCAGGTTTTGGTGTATCAGAAATATCGCGTTTGTTCACCTTGCTGTTGGTAGTTTCGGTTGGTTTGGCTTTTGTTGGCGTCTTACTGCCAGTAATCGATGTTTTCGCACCTGCCGATAGCTGAGATATTAAGGATGTTGTTGATTTTGTCGAACCTGTCACTGGCTTTTCGTGAGCAGGTCTACGAAGAAGGCCAGCTTCTGATCTAGTAAGCCGATTGGATGGCGCTTTGTGACCGCTTTTATAGCTACCATTCATACACGCGTTACCACTGTCACCATTCTGAATAGGGCATCGACTTCGTGATTCTCGAGAATCAGCGCGTGAATCTGCTCGACAACTCCGGTTATCGTTGCTGTTGAAACCGTTAAATTCATGTTCCCACGTTCGAGGACAAAGAGACGAATTCGAGCGGACGAATCGTCTCTGTATGGAATCTCGTGAATCTCGTGAGTCTCGAGGATGTTCTGAAACTGCAATGCTTGGTGGATCAGGGGCTTTGCCTTTATTCTTCCGCAACTTGATTTTGGCCTTCGAGGGCGATATGGCAATGACGCTTTTCTGCGCTTGGCTCTGGTGCTGTCCATTATCGGCATGAGGCGTATGATTAAAAGCTTTGCGCGAGAGGTCCGAGTCGGACAACGTTCGTCTATTCGGATTCAGGGTAAAGGATCCCTCCTCAGACTGACGCATTGATCTGAAATAAATTCAGAATAACACAACCAAACCGAGTGAGTATATTTCCTTCTTTTCGAATGTAGCGAGCAATAATCGGTGCAGCAATAATAATAATAATATGGCCTGAAACGTTTTAAATACCAGTACTGAAATTTTGTTTCTCGAGAGCCCGAATTTGTCAGGGCAATAGAAAAATTAAACTTGGTTCCATTTTCAGAGAACTGAATAACCATCACCGTGTAACAAATTAGCAATAGCACAATTTTGGCAATAAAAGCACGCGGTAAGTAACCCTGGATAACGAAACTGGGCATGTTATACGGATCCCCGAAAAAACCACTGTGGAATATAGGGATCAAAACAGCACAACAGTTAAAATATACTAGAATATGATAGTGGAATACTTAAACAGACGGGCCAAAGTACTGGAAATTCTAAAATAGGGTAACAGAGTAACGTTGCGAAATAACTGAAGAACTTAAACAATTCATTAGGTTTAATTTTAAACAGGCAATATTTCAACAAGGATAACTGCAACGGACTAACAAGCATGGCGCAACATGATAATACAACCCTAATGAGCAGCTGCAATGTGTTTGTGCAGGACGACGGAACATGCTTGATTTTGGATTTGTTTTGAAAGAGTAACAAAGCAAGACTTTAGTGTGCGTTCAATGAAAAAAGTATGGGTAGGATAACAAACCAGCCAGGATGGGCATTAGAAAAAGTGAACGAATGTATGGTGCTATGTTCGTTGCCACACAGGTAGAATGGCTTCGACCATCCTGCAAGGTGAATGATATACGCAACTATTGAAGTAATAAATTTATTTTTCATTTTGTTCAACCTATTTCCTATGCATTAGATAAGATAGAAGGCCATTCGAAATATAAGAAGAAGATAGTAGAACGAAAATAATAGACATTTTTCTTTAATAAGACTTTTTTTTATCTTAATATTATTCATTCAACATGATAGTTTATAGTATAATATAAAGTGTAAAAAATAAAGCATACATTGAAAACCTATGTTTTTTGTTTACTTAATTACATAAACTCTCAAGAAGAACTCGATTCGTTGATTTCTTATTCTAAGAATGATTAACCGTGCCGCTTATTCCATTACAGCCTTTGTTATTAGGCGCTTACTTTTCAATATCAACCGACCAAAATTTTGACTTTTTGTCGAACGATATAAGTAACCATAGCTGATGAAAATATATTAATTCCTGATGCGGCCAAATTTTATTTCTTTCATATGTGTCCTACTTGGCATGTATCAGACCGACGGCCTCTTTCGCACGTCAAGGGAAACGCAAAGGTTATGCGGGTTGCAGAAGGGCTCAAAGCAACAGTTTTAAGTGTACGTATTTAATAGAAGGAGCTTAACATAGGCACAAGGTGCTCTGTAGAGGTTATCTTGAACACAGGGCTTCGATTGTTTGATTAAGTAGGTTATTTCTCTCTCACTTTAGCGGTAACGTCTTTACCTAATAAGTTTGCTGTGAGCAAGCCGTCCGACCGAACAGTTAACTGCAGTACCCTAAGCAAAACTATAAATAGGCTTAGGTTAGATTTATACAAGTTCCACAATCTAAATTCATCCGGTCAAAATTCTAATCAGAGCTTGATATAGCCATAATCATCTGCTTGGACATTATAACAATTACATAACATACATAATTATGAGATACATTATCATATCCTACCTTCTTCGTTGGCTGATTGTTCCCTCATTCTGCAGTATTTGCCCATTTTCCGTATTGCGTAACATCTTTCTCTGAATGACTGCATCGGTTAAAGGTACAATCAGATGACCATGCCTTTGAAGCTGATGATGGGGACCCAGCGAATGGTGACCTCCCAAGCCACCAATCCAGGATCGCTCGCGCTGAAGTCCTCCGAATATTTTTTCATGATTCTCCAACTGCAAATGCAGCTGTTGTGAATTGGAGTTCCCCATCGATCAATCTACCGTAGCGCCCGCTTACGAATTGCTCAGCGTCAAGTTGTAGGTAATCCGTCGACGCGCTTCAATCACGTCTGAATTCGTCCGAAATTCTTCTCGCGAAGAAGCCGGAGAAAAAGTGCAAAGAGGCTCGCTTGACAAAAGTTACAGGAGGGCCCTTGCGGGGCTCGTAGGAGCGTCCCGACTATCGGCCGTCACCCCGATTTCACGGCATCATCTGTAAATAACTAGTAAATCGTCCAAAAGTCGAATATAAGGCATAAATTAGTAGTGCAAAATTCTAATAGTGCTGGCCATAAAAAATTTATGAATCCGTTAGTAGCTAGTAACATATTTATTTAATGTTAGAGTTATTAGTTTATTAACTCCATATTGCCTTTGTTTAAACAAATCTCGAGTAAGCTCACACCAAATTGAGGAAATCGATTACAGGGCTAATATATATATATACTTTAGAAATCCGGGCTGGTGGCTATCTGTGAATTTTCTTAAGAAGACCCCTTATACATTCATCATTTGCAAATCATCAAAAGCCCCTAGCCAAGGCAAATTTAAGGGCTTTTGTGTAGCAATTTTCAATACTAACGCACTTATTTATTACTTACTAAGTGGAAATTATTACCTGCTTTCTTGTGGTAAAGATGAATACTCTTTTTCTAGGATAGTATAT